CTAGCGGTGTACCGAATTTAAGCTCAATCGGCCCAGCCGTTTTCAAGATCTGGAAGCGACCCCTACACGTGCGCACGTGCAGTTGCACCCCAACCGAGACACATGAGTATACATACTAACTGACTTGTGCACAGCACCCTACTAAACGGTCTCTAAAGGTGTGCCGAATTTGAATGCAATCGGCCCAGCCGTTCCTGAGATCTGGAAGCGTCACCCTGCACGTGCGCACGTGCAACCTGGGGCCCAGCAGACCTGTGCAAGACACCCTACTACGCGATCTCTAGCGGTGTGCCAAATCTGAGCACAATTGGCCCGGCCGTTCTCGAGATCTGGAAGCGTCACCCTGCACGTGCGCACGTGCAGTTGCACCCCAATCGTGGCACATGGAAATACATACTAAATGACTGCAACCTACTGATCGGTATCAAGCGTTATGCCAAATTTGAACACAATCGGTCCAGCCGTTCTCGAGATCTGGAAGCGTCACCCTGCACGTGCGCACGTGCAGTTGCACCCCTACCAAGACACATGGAAATGCATCGCCTGGAAAGTGTCTACCTCCATGCCAAGTTTTAGCGCAATCGGCCCAGTAATTACCGCGAGCTATTGCGCTTATTACAAAACAGGCACCTCTTGGCTTTGCACGTGGAACCACGGGTGGAGAATTATGCTGGACTGGGGGTGCTCGAGCTCTCCCAATTCCACGCCGGCCACGCCGGCTTTGCTTTGGAGCCGCGGCCGGGCGGCGCGGGTCAAGGTCACCGCTAGGCGGCGGCGGATTTGCTGCGCCCGAGCACCCCCAGCTGGTCACAATTCTCCACCTATGCGTGGAACGTGCGTTAGGGGTCACCCATATGCATCGAGAGTAGCACACTATGTGAAAGAAGGGAAAAAGCTACCCCACACAAAAAAAAAACGCACGTGTATCAGCCCAGTGGTTGCCGAGATATAAGTCGTACAAAAACGTCCCCACGGCGGCCGGCCGCTATTTAGCAGTAAAATCGTGTCGCATCCTTCTATGGGAGGTATCCCCGTCACCTGTTTGTATACTGTCTGAGCAAAGGCCATACATTACGGTCCAAACTCCATAGTGAGGCGGACATACGAATTTACGAGAGTTTAGCGACGAAATGATTCACTTAATTGTTAAGTAATGGGTACCATTAGGTAGACCATAAATTTTATCTAGCATCTCACCGTAGATGCAGTAAAAAGTGCTTTACTTTTCAATGTATATAAAGACTTGCTCAGCTCAATCAGTTCACTCTGTATTGGCTCAAGCCGTATCATGCGAACGCAATACAAACTAGAGCACCGACAGCGCAGCGCTCCCCAACTCACTGCTCGCCCAGTCCACCCGGGCCGCCGCCACGACGGCCCCCCGCAAGTAGGCATCCCGCACTGCACCGACAGCCGCGGGCGACCAGCTGACCGGCCAGCTGACCGGCCAGCAGCCGGCGGGCGGCAAGCCGCGGATGGCCGACCCGCCGGCGCGGCGAGGGAGGGGAGGGACGCAGCTGAAAGACCCGACTACATATATATCAAAGAAACATTATATGTAATCATCGATGACGCGACATAAATCTGCTTTATTGGGGTTAGCGGTGTAGTCTGTGATGCCATCACAATGAAAATAGCCTAGTTTTGTAGAGCATCAAATTCTGATTCCATAACGACTCTCGCTAGTCCATTTTCAATTGTAAATAAGCCTTTTATTGCGATGCAAAGTCCCGAAATGGTGCCGACGGCGGCCGGGTCCCCCGATGATACCATACCATAGATGGTAAACAGGTTAGTTCACATTCCCGCCGCTATGCGGGCGGCGGCGGCGCCACCTGTCCTCGTGTCCGCCTGACACCGTAACGATATAGGTCTGAGCTCAAATCTCGGTAATGTCGTGCTTTTTTACTATATTTCTCAAAAACGGCACCACGTGCAATAAAGTTGTATATATCATTGGAAAGAGCATCAAAAGTTGTATAAAATATCAACTTTTGACGTAAACATATCTTTAACGTAAAAAGTTATAAAGCAGCAAAGACGCTCCCATTGACTTTCCATGTTAAAATTTTTCATTTTTAAACGAGCTTCAAAAGAGCAAACGAATTCTGACAGCTTAACGAAGCATAACAACATGTTCTATGGTCTTTTTTCAACAAGTCCTGAAAGTTTAAACAAAATCGTATCATATAATTTTGTACAATGAGCGGATGAAAATGCCTCTGCAAAAACACCCATTGACTTAACATGGGGAGCGAAAAAAGTTCAACTTCAAACTCGTGCAACTCAAGTTAACGAATTCTGACGGGTATACGGCGCACACTGGCGTGTACCAGAACGTGTTTGCCATAAAATGCTGGGAAGAAAACCACCTCCTTCTTGGCTCGTTTTCCCGCCATTGGCGATCGCGCAAAAAGTGTCCAAAACCCCGTTGACTTAACACGGGGAAAATGGAATCGCACGTGCCACGTGCCACGAGGTTTTAAGCGAGTAGCGACCGGTGCCACCAGGTAGATCGCCCCCGGGAGCCCATACCCTGAAATTTTTACGAAGATTGAGCGATTCGTCTAGGCCCCTACCAAGTTGCCCCAATTCGCGGCCAGACTTGCAAAACATAGCCCGGAGAAGGACCGCTCCGGTTGTTTTTCAATAGAAAAACACAATTCTAACGAATAGTGTTTGTCTTTTCTAACAACCTGCGGTTACTTCAAACAACCTGCGGTTAACGCCGCAAAAACGCCACCCGCCAAACGAGAGGATGAGCCTTGCACGTGCAGATCGGAGTGGGTGTGCTACGAACTGACGTGCACTGCACTCTGCTAACCGGTCTCTAGCGGTGTGCCAAATTTGAGTGCAATCGACCCGGCCGTTTCGAGATCTGGAAGCGACACCCTGCACGTGCGCATGTGCAAAATGGTCCCATCTGACTTTTGCACGGCACCCTATTCGCCGGTCTCTAGCGGTGTACCAAATTTGAGCTCAATCGGCCCGGCCGTTCTCGAGATCTGAAAGTGTCACCCTGCACGTGCGCACGTGCAGCTGCACCCCAACCGTGACACATGAAAATACATACTAACTGACCTGCGCACGGCACCCTAATGATCGGTCTCTTAAGGTGTGCCAAATTTGAATGCAATCGGCCCGGCCGTTCCAGAGATCTGGAAGCGTCACCCTGCACGTGCGCACGTGCAAAATGGTCCCATCTGACTTTTGCACGGCACCCTATTCGCCGGTCTCTAGCGGTGTACCAAATTTGAGCTCAATCGGCCCGGCCGTTCTCGAGATCTGAAAGTGTCACCCTGCACGTGCGCACGTGCAGCTGCACCCCAACCGTGACACATGAAAATACATACTAACTGACCTGCGCACGGCACCCTAATGATCGGTCTCTTAAGGTGTGCCAAATTTGAATGCAATCGGCCCGGCCGTTCCAGAGATCTGGAAGCGTCACCCTGCACGTGCGCACGTGCAGCGGCACCCCTACCGTGGCACATGAAAATGGATCGCCTGGTAGGTGACTACCTCCATGCCAAGTTTCAGCGCAATCGGCCCAATAATTACCGAGTTATTGCACTTATTACAAAACTGACACCTCTCCGTATTACACGTGTCACGTGCAGTAGGGGTCACCCGCATGCATCGTCCACAGTAAAATACTTCTAAGAAGGGTATACGCTACCCCACACAAAAAACCGCAAGTGTATTGGTCCAGTGGCTGCGGAGATATAAGTCGTACAAAAACGTCGCCACGGCGGCCGGCTGCTAATGTTTAGTATTAAATCGCATCCTTCAATGGGAGGTATCCCTGTCACCTGTTCGTATACTGTCTGAGTCAAGGCCATATATAGGTCTGAGCTCAAATCTCGGTAAAGTCGTGCTTTTTTACCAAATTCCTCGAAAACGGCACGACGTGCAATAACGTTCTATATATCATTGGAAAGAGCATCAAAAGTTGTATAACCTATCAACTTTTCACTTAAATATATCTCAACTGTAAAAAGTTATTAAGCAAGAAAGACGCTCCCATTGACTTTCCATGTTAAAATTTTTCTTTTTCAAACGAGCTTAAAAAGAAGAAACGAATTTGCACAGCTTAAAGAAGCATAACAACATGTTCTATGGTCTTTTCTCAACAAGTCCTGAAAGTTTAAACAAAATCGTATCATATAATTTTGTACAATGAGCGAATGAAAATGTCTCTGCAAAAATGTCCATAGACTTAACATGGGGAGCAAAAAAACTTCAACTTCAAAGTCTTACTACAAAAAAAATCGACTTCTTACGGGTAGACGGCGCACATGGGCGTGTACCTGAATGTGTCGGCCATAAAAAGGTGTGCAGCAAACCATACCTTGATCGGCGATTTTTTCCGCTATTTGCGATTGCGCAAAAAGTGTCCCAAACCCCCATAGACTTACTATGGGAAAAATGGAATCGCACGTGCCACGCGCCACGAGATTTTAAGAGAGTTGCGACTGGTGTCAGCAGGTAGATCGCCTCCGGGAGCCCATACACTGAACTTTTTATGAAAATCGCAATGCACATTTAGGCCCCCGTCAAGATGTCTCGATTCGCGGCCAACTTTGTAAAACATAGCCCGGAGAAGGACCGCTCCGGTTGTTTTTCAATAGAAAAACACAATTCTAACGAATAGTGTTTGTCTTTTCAAACAACCTGCGGTTAATAACTTATAAACCGCGGCTTTACCTCTGCTGCCTCGGGACTGTTGATAACCACGTGTATAGCGCCACGCCGAGTTGGAGGTGGAAACCACCCTCACCTCGGGGCTGTATATAGTCCGGTGGAAGTCACCCTCACCTCGGCGCCCTATATAGTCCGGTGGAAGTCACCCTCACCTCGGCGGCCTCGGGGCTGTATATAGTTCGGTGGAAGCCACCCTCACCTCGGCGGCCTGGGGGCTGTATATAGTCCGGTGGAAGCCCCCCCCCTCACCTCGGCGGCCTCGGGGCTGTATATAGTCCGGTGGAAGCCCCCCTCACCTCGGCGGCCTCGGGGCTGTTGATGACCACGTAGTCCACACCGAGCTGCAGGTGGAAGAAGCCGCGGTACTGACGCACATAGTGCATCAGCATGTCCAGCAGGTCTGAGAACACGGAAAAACAGGAGGTCTGAGAACACGGGAAAACAGGGGTGAGAAGACGGAAAATTAGGTCTGAGAACAGTAGCGGCGGAACACCTTCAATTAAGGGGGAGGGGGGCCCGCATTGCCGACTTTTGGTCTTATTCTTTCCATGCAACGCCCATAGGGCTAATGTTAAAATGCCAAAATCAGAGGGGGGCACTGTGCCCCGGTGCCCTCCCCGTTCCGCCGCCTATGTCTGAGAACACGGAAAAAACAGGGGTCCTGCCAAAATAGAGAAACAGGAGGTATGGAAACACGGAAAAAACAGGCATTCTGCCAAAACGGAAAAACGGGTCTGAGAACACGAGAAAACAGGTCTGAGAACACGAGAAAACAGGTGTGTGAGCACGGGAAAACAGGAGGTCTGAGAACGCAGAAAACAACACGATGGGTAATGGTCGCCATTTGAACCTGCTACATGTCCAGGAGGTCTGATAAAAACACACCGGAAAAACAACATCGATGGCAAATAGCTGTCCGGCAGTGTTCGCCACGGGCCGGGCCAGCCCAACGGGCCATGGGCCGGGCTGGGCTACGGGCTGGGCCGGGCCCCCAAATATCATTAGTTAACGGGCTATGGACGGGCCGGGCCAAGAGCTTTGTGCACTATGGGTTTTGCGACTAATGTCAATTTAAGAAAATTTTAAAACTGATGCAAACAAAACCCACTGGGAAAATACAAAAACTAAACCAAATTTAAGCAATGTGAAAGAAAAGCTTCTTGATAATGAATTTTGGGAATCTTGAGAATTATCCAATATCACATCATGTCACACATAGGAGGGTTTTCATAAAAATTCCGCAAGCAAAAAGATCAGAGAATCTCTAGCATCATTAGTTTGTAATAAAAGTTAAAATGTAGTCATCAGAATAACTTACTTAGCACTACAACTCCAAAAACTAAGAAGCCACTCAACAATGATGGGCTACAGGGCTACATTAAGTTTAACACTTATATATGGCGATAGTGAGACAATTCCAACACAGTCTTTTTTCCTTCACAGACGGCTTTTTAACGAACAGAACCTTAAAAGGATACTCACAAAACACACTGTAAGTAACGAGGAACTCTACAGAGTATTTCGCGATGAAAGCTTCTTTAAATGTCCATAAATTTGTCAAAATAAATCACAACAAACCAGCCCCTTCTCAACAAAATTTGCAATCATGGCGGCGGCGCTATGTTTATGTGGCGGCATCTATAGGTAGTATACACAACAGTATATCAAATAAATACGTTTTTTAGTGAGTATCAAGGTGAAAAACAAAATTTAACAAATAAAAAATAAAACCTAAATCACGAAGTCTGAAAACTCGAACGAAAAACAAAACAAAAACTTGATCATATATGTTTTATTATACAATTGGTCAAAATCGCTACCTGCCGCAGCTGCGACAATTAAGAAGTGTTCGCTCATTTTCGATTGATGATGATGATGCGTAAAAGTCGCAAAAGTACCCAATGATATTTCAAGCTTACCATGTTTTCTGCTTACGCTGCTAGCGATATCCATATCTTGAAAAGAGCCTAACATAAAATAGCAAGGATAGTTGTCCACAGAGATTCGGTTGACACCTCTTATACGGCCTTGGTTGACACGTGGGCATGAATTGAAAATAGATAGGTTTTGCTGATAAATGGATGGATTTTCTCTTTTTTTGGAAGACAGTGCTAAAGTTAGTGTCACCTATTTTGTATGCTTTCTCAGGCTTTTGATATTGCAGCATCTATGGAGTGAATTTAACAGCAAGGTCAATCCCAGACAGATTCATCAATTCCCATAAGTCAAGCTTTTTTTCTGCTGGTAAGTGCTGGGAAGTACAGAGTATGTGGCAAATACTTCCTTCAAGTATGCATTAGAGTCACCAATTATGAATGATAATGTTCACACACATCAGCTTGCAAGATAACTTTACTCATAGAATGTAGTTAATATACCTAATCATGTAAACTTTTTATAGGTGTGTAATCATGACCTGATTGACTGAGGTGCTTGCTGTTACTGTTAAAATTTGTGCCATAGGTGCTTGAAATGATTATATTCATTGAAAAGAAGGGAGTCATGATTGCCATGTTAATATTCATGCAATTTGAATTGTTCTCAAAATAGTGTAATCAATCATGCTTATTATAGCAATAGACTAAGACAATAACTAGATTGCTTTTTTTGACGGGCCGGGCCGGGCTGGGCTTGGAATATTTGCCAAGAGCGGGCTACGGGCTGGGCCGGGCTCTGAACCCATGGGCCCGGGCCGGGCTGGGCTGGGGATTTTGGGGCCCGTGGCGAACACTGCTGTCCGGCTCTGAATCCATGTCACCATATCAGGTTGGAGCCTGTCACAACAAGGCATTCTCTTCGTATCTGCTTACAGCCCGTAAAAACAACGTTTTCATGTAAATGTTTACGCCATGAACTGAATTGTCATACGTCTACCCTTTGTGTTATGAAAGGGCCTAAAGTTTGGACAATCGTGGTATCTTATATAAATTAGAGCCTAAACATCGCATGCCGCCTATTATGATAAAAATGATTCTAAATTATGCTACATAAACTTAAAGCTACCTGAATTACGAACACTATACAACAAAGCATCCTATCCAAAGCATCCACGTTTTAAACCTATGTGTGCCCCATCGAAGACTCTTCAATACAAGTCGGAGTACCGGGACCAATAATAACTTTTACCCACTACCCAGTGAAAGTCCGTTATAACAATTTCAAACAAAGCATCCATTTTAAACTATAATTTAATTCTGCGTCATAACACATTGTGGTCCGTCCATGTATGCGCTTCTTCATCCAGTCACGACCTTTGACCTTTGGCCGTGACCTTTAGCGGCCGGGTCGTATTGACCGTCTGCAGTCTGGCCGGCCGGTCGGCAGTAGACCCATCGCGCGGACCGATAGATCCGCCGGCGCGGACCAGCCCCATGGCTGGCACTCTATCGTCGGTACAGGGACACGGTGACAGACCCATCGCGCGGACCTGTCCTATAATACACCGCATCATCGGCCGCCGGGGGATGGGGGGGGGGGGCAGAGAGCCACAGAGGAAATCGATGAGAGGGTAACCCAAGGCCGGCACGGCGGCATGACGTAGGATCTGGGCACATGGTGGACACTGGTGAGAAGTAAACCAACACAACACAAACAAAAACTGATCCCGGATGGGCTAAATGAACAATGACTTGATGAGATGAAGAGACTGAACAATGAACATGCACAGTAGATGTGCAAGCGCACCGACAAATGAACCATTCTGCAGGGGAATGGCGACTTTAGCACGGGTGAGGAGGGCCGTGGTCACTAAAAGACGATACCCTGACCGCTCTGACAGATTGACCGATGACCTGCTGGAACTTCAGTAAAACAGGTAGGTACATGACCTGTCGACATCTGGCCTGGGACCCTATATGACCAGTCGACCTCTGTCCTGTGACCTGACATGACCCGACTGCGCCATGACCCGAGCGCCACTGACATTCGATACTTTCTGACCTGCGCTTCCTGACTCTTACCTTTTCCAGCCCTCATTGACTTGTGACATTCCCGACTTTTCATTGACCTTTGGCCTTATACGAGCATCGAGCATGCCCTATCATTCATTGGCCGGCAGCCTTATAGCCTTATTTGACCTTTCACTGACCTGTGACCTGCCAGGGGACCAGCAGCGTGTGTCCCAGCACCGGGTACACGGGTTTGGGTCCGGGCAGGTTTCTGATCTGCTGCTGGTGGACGGAGAGGCCGCGTCTAACCAGCAGCGCCACGGGCAGCAGCAGCGCCAGCAGCAGCAGCACGGGCGGCGTCAGCAGCGACCAGCAGCCGGCCAGCAGCCGGCCCAACAGGCCAGCAGACACCTCCAGCATGGCGGCCGACGCTGCTCCTCACTAACGCTGAAAATGGAGAGAACACAGATTAGACAGAAATTGGTAGAAGATGGGGAGACAGCTAGAAAGCTCACTGCTGATGAGGTGATGCTACACTCATTTGGCCCTACGAGGTGCTGTGTTTGTCTGTCTGTCTGTTTTTATGATAATTAGTGTCTGGGAGTTTTAGTACTCGAAATTGTCGGCATCAACTTGCGCCGACAAGTTGATGCCGACCTGCATACACTGAACGGAATCATTGCACTTAGGTACTCCAAGATTTATTTGGTTTTGGAGTGGTGAGGTGAAAGGGAGGTAATACCCCTCTTGTACATTATTCACATTATTCTTGTATAGTCGACTGCAGAATGATGTTCCACTTTTCACAGGCAATTATTTGCCTGGAGTGGTAGGCTGTGCCGCATCACACAGGCCGAGTTCACAAATTATAGCTTTGTCCCAATGCTCACAATCGACACGCTTAATTGAGTGATAAACGGCACAACTTAGCGCTCCGGTCAACTGATAGCTTCTGAGGAATGGAACATAATTCTGTAGTCGACTATACATCATATCTTGTATATTATTCACTGTAAGATCATTCATTCACATGTTACACCACTAGTAACTATGACGATTTAAGCGTATAAGAGGATAGCGTCTTCTTATCGAGACGGGAATAAAATGCGGGCGTCGTAAATGCGGTATCGCCAGATTAGCCAAGGCCGGGCAGATACAGATAATATGCCTACAGTGCGCCATGTTCTGTGGTCAGATCGGCAATGATTAACCAAGGCCGTATAAAGAGTGATTAACTCCTCCACAGGTCTGTAACAAGGCCATGTAAAAAGTTGAGCGCCTGTGACGCCGCCTCTGGATATGAGCCGCGGTATAAGAAGCCACCATTCGATGGGAATCAGTCCTTACGCTGTAACCTGTCAGCTATATGTAGATGCACCGTCAAGGCCGGATGAACCGGTCTGTGGCGCGCCGACTCTCACACTCTCCCTCTGTCCTTCTCTCTCCCTCTCTCTCTCTCTCTCTCTCTCTCTCTCTCTCTCTCTGTCTCTCTCTCTCTCTCCCTCTCTCTCTCTCTCTCTCTCTCTCTCTCCCCTCTCTCTCTCTCTTTCTCTCCCTCCACCACATCCACCACACATCTTCAGACAGGCACCAAGCTGCCCAGTCCCCCCCCCCCCCCGAGTACGCCCGCGGACTCTCCAAAGGCGTCTCCCCCTCGCCCCCACACCCACCCCTCAACACACACCCCTCGTGCCGGGTGGTGTGTCCTTGGCTGCAGTACATAACACAGGCGTCGGTCTGCGCACAACCAATGATAGTTCGCAGGGACAGGGGCGCGCCTTGCTGCTGAGGTTAACACTCGACACACCCGTGTACTGAATGCGGCCGGCTATTTGTTGTTTCTCATTTCTATCAGAGGTTTTCAATGCAACAGTTAGTTAAACCACGAGAACACCATGCTGGATCTGCGTAGCGGTATAGTCGGTAGGCCCGGGAAAATGTACATTCAACGCCCAATAGGAGTCTTAAAACACTTAGCTCCATACCAGAGTACACGTGAACCCTGTTTATGCTCGCTTCATGTCATGGCGTATTGGGTTAACCCGCGCCCTGCTGGGGGGGGTGTTTGAACACCCCCCCCTTGTGGTTTTTCGCGAATATCTCAAAAACGGCGGCGCGGAGCGCCGCCGTTTTTGGTACACCTTATCATACATCAATTCTACACATGTTGTGAAAATTTCAGACCAAGGTCATTCAAGGTCAGGTCACCAGGTCACTTGAAGTGACCTCACCTCATAAAAAGTTTCAATGTCTGTCATAGCTACACCGAGTGACCGATCGCTTTGAAACTTTCAGCGATTGCTAAGAGCAATAGCATGTACAAAATGTATATCTCAGAATTTTGATATTGATGACCTAAGGTCAGGTCAATTTTGCGACCTCCCCATTATAAGTCAATGGGAGAAAATTGAAATGCGCCTCTTTTGGACAAAAGACATTATAAACACTCCCAAACACCTAATTACAAGTAGTTTAGACACACTGAACATGAAAATGGTGTCCGTGACCCTTGTTTATGCCCTGAGGTCATCTTAGGTCACGAATGGTATCTAACAGTTTTTCGCAAATAACTTTTGATAGAGGCATGCTAGAGCGATGAAAACGCCTTAGATGTGTTCAGCTCGACGATACGGATCGACTGATATGCAACATGACCCTTTCCGGTCAGGTCATGACCTTGACCTGAGGTCAAATTTTCAAGTTGACCTTTCAAGGTCAACTTATAGTTCATTCGATGCGTCTTGACGAGAGGAACACAATGCCGGTAAAAGTAAGCTCGTACAAGGCTTGGGTCAAAAGTTATTGCAGAAAAACTGTTTCCGAAAAAATCAGCTATTTTTGCAGTTTTTGCCCCCTGCAGGCAAAACCGTTGACGTTAGGTCAAATCTGAGAGGATCACTCAGAGAGGGCTTTAATAGGGCTATCGAATGCGCTTTTCCGCGGCGCTGTAGCTCTATTGGTTCTCGAGCTATGCGTTGGCTTCTTGGAAATTTTCGACATTCGACCTGGAAATCGGCGAAATTTTGCCTTCAATGACCTCTGGTGACCTGACCTTTGACCTGACCAAAAAATTGACCGAAGTGATTTCGTCATTATTTTTGACGCTCTTTCGAACGCCGCCTTCCGCGTATCGCTACGTGGCCCAGGAGCCGAGTTACAAGGGGGGGTGTTCAAACACCCCCCCCCCCCCAGCAGGGCGTGGAAATCCAGGACCCCCAGCCGGGCGCGGGTTAACAGGTTAAAGGTAGTGTGCCAGCTTTCCTGGATCGTATGGAGTTAATGGCCCAGATAAGGAGAACCGGATTTTTAGAACTTATCCATACCTTCAAAACTCATGGAAACGTCTTAAATTCTTCAAATTTTGAGTACCCCAGTGCGAAATTCGCCCCGACGGGTTGTCGGTCGTACCCCAACCACATTTCACACCACTATGAACAATAAATGCACACACTGAAATCGCTTTTACCGATAGGCTCATCCAATCAAGTTTCGATAAACCCGTTCATCATCATCTCCTGCGGTTTCGAACACGCCTGTTAGGTGGTGCGGTAGACCGCGCCCAAAGCCAGGGCCCCGGTAACGTGAGGTTGCCGAGTCGGGGCAGCGTGCGCTGACCCAAGCCGGGGCCGCGCGTCCTCCCGGTGTCATGTGATAGCCCGGGGCTGCCCGGGGATGCGGTAGACCGCGCCCAAAGCCGCGGTCCCGGCTTGGGTCAGCGCACGCTGCCCCGACTCGGCTACCTCACGTTACCGGGGCCCTGGCTTTGGGCGCGGTCTACCGCAGGTGGCTTCTGCTCATACTTTGTGGTGCGGTGGTGGTGCGTCGGGCCGCGCGCTCTGACTTCGGCCAAGAAAAATGCGTCAGCTGATCATTGTCATTTCTGCCACTTTCATGTGGTGAGATGGGGTCATAACTTTAGAGACGGCTGTTTCATATCAATTATTTTACATAAAATAATATTTCAAACCATAAATTAATGTTCGACAGCCAAATTAAAGAAACAATACCAATACAGGCTTACAGTTTAAATTCGACATTGTGTTGTCTACGATTAGACAGCTGATAACTCATTCCCGTACGTCGTAACTCTATAATGACCTTTGCTTATTGTCACATGTGCGCCGCATTCGCGATTGTTGCCGACGCCTGTTTGCAGGTCAGCCCACTACAGTTGTTATACATATCGAAAAACCGATAAACTTTTAGGCAAAAAAAGCACTATTTTAGGCCCATTTTTGATTTTTTTTTTGCGATATTAGGTAAAAACAGAAGCTTCTTATCCTAGGAAAAATAAAATGGGAAATCATTGGAAGGTGGCACACTACCTTTAACGATGGTATTTAACAATAACCCACGCCAATGAATCACACATCACTCTCACTCGCACTTACTCATTCTTTCACTCTCACTCTCATCTCTCACTCTTACTCTCTTACTCTCTCACACCCTCCCTCTCTCGTCTCTCTCTCTCTCTCTCACTCTCCTTTTTTCTCTCTCTTTCTCTCTCTCTCTCTTTCTCTCTCTCTCTCTCTCTCTCTCTCTCTCTCTCTCTCTCTCTCTCTCTCTCTCTCTCTCTCTCTCTCTCTCCCCTTTCGTTCCTCTCCTCTTAGGAAATACACTCGTCAATCACACGTTCTTCAGGTTATCCCGCATACATATAACATGACCGTGAAAATACGGGGTTTCGGGCCCCGAATTTGCATCACGAAGTCCTAACTGACTGCTGCGTACTTACTGGTCAGCATTCCGCTGTGAATTACGTGTAGCGTATGTAGACTTGAATGGTGAGAGTGCGTCACAGTCGCCAGTGTGCAATGTTTCAGCCGATGTGCCAGGATAAACGAGAGAGTAGTAGGTAGGACTTCTATTTATAGTAGGTACTGTGGACAGCGTATAAATATAACGACAGCGTGCGGTAACACTACATATAATCATAGACTCGTAGTACTTGCAAAAAAAAAGATAGTACACCTGAAGTATGTGAAATTGTGTATGTATTATAACCGACCGAATAGTTGCCTACCGCCATCGCCCATCAGTATCTACAGGTATCTAAAGGTATCTACAGTATCTACATGTAGGAGGTATCTACAGTATCTACATGTAGGTACAGGCATCGGTCTGGATAAAATATTTTCGTGGCTGAAAAAGCAGATGCTGAAGAATAAAGTCGCAATGCGTCACTTGCTTTTCTAATTTATTTAGTCTATGCTTATTTAACATAAGCAAATGATTGTAGGTATTACCAATTCAATCTTATTAACGTTTTTGATCAGTGTTTAAAAAATCTCCTATCTCAATAAACATGCATACCTACCGCTACTTCAACTGTCGAATTGCCACTTCCTATACATCCAAACGACGGCAAGGGGATAAGCCAAGGTGTGGAACTGATTGGCCAAATGGACAGCTTTATTCATGCGATTCCAGCAGTACATCTTTTGCTA